ACTGGAGTTGGCACTCAGTGCCATAGTGGTGCTGAGCCATAGACTGGACTCAATCATCCCAGAGGTCTTTTCCAAATAAACTGATTGTGTGATAGCCTGGGCTATGCCACTTTCTTTGATTATTCAGAAAGCCATTAAACATTGCCACATCCATGTAAAACAGCTCAAAGCACGAAAGATTCAGGGGATTGATTGCCATTAATCCCAGCTCTACCTGAACAATTTTGGCAGCTTGGAGGAGAGACGGGGGGGGTACACACTGACAGGGGGCACACATAGGAGGCCACACACTGATAGGGGGCACACACAGGGGGTACACACACACAGAGAGCACACACTCACAGGGGTGCACACAGGGCCACATCACAGACACATTTTATGAAAAATCCTTTCCTTAGGATTTTTTTCTCCTGAGAAACTGAGAGGCTTCAGGAACAAAATGTAACCAATTATTATCTGCTGCTGTGGAATGCAACAGGTGCATCTGTGATTGGTCTCATGTGGTTGTTTCTAATTAATGGCCAATCACAGTCAGCTGGCTCAGACTCTTTTGTTATAATTCCTTCTTTTTCTATTCTTAGCCAGCCTTCTGATGAAAACCTTTCTTCTATTCTTTTAGTATAGTTTTAATATAATATATATCATAAAATAATAAATCAAGCCTTCTGAAACATGGAGTCAGATCCTCATCTCTTCCCTCATCCTGGGACCCCTGTGAACACGGTCACAGGCACACACTCACAGGGGGTACTCACAGGGTTACACACTCACAGGGGTGCACACACAGGGGGTGCACACTCACAGGGGTGCACACACAGGGGTGCACACTCACAGGAGGTACACACACAGGGGTGCACACTCACAGGGGGTGCACACTCACAGGAGGTACACACACAGGGGTGCACACTCACAGGGGGTGCACACAGGGATTCACACTCACAGGGGGTACACACAGAGGGTAGACACGCTGACAGGGGGTGCACACTCACAGGGGGTACACGGCCTCGTGGGTGCAGTGCACGGTGGTGATGTAGTCGGGGCTGGGGTTGTAAAGCATGGTGTACCAGTCCGAGAGCTTCTTGACGGGGCAGGAGCGGATGTGCAGGGAGCCCGCGGGGTCGCTGAGCAGCAGAGTCACCAGGGCTGCCACGCTGCACTCCAGCAGCGCTGTCACGTGCTGCAGCAGCGCGCTGGAGCTAAGGGACAGCACACACACACACTGTCACTGCCGGGCTCTCGGAACTCTGCTGGTCACAGCCACCCTGAGATGTGTTACAAAGTCTCTTTTCCCAGCCTAGCAGTCCAAGAAGGAGTCAGGATTCTTTTATTCTTATTCTTTGGGTTGTTTATTATTTCTTATCTATAACATTCTTTCTCTGACCCACCAAGGTCTGTCTGGCAGGTTAGGTTGAGGCACACTGACCACCTTCAGAGACAGTGTTATCTTTTTATACTAAAAACTACATGTACATTATTTACAATAACTTTCCAATTCCTATCACCTATGTTAGACAGTGAGCTTCTACTCTAAACCAATCTAAAAGTGCCAACATCACCCAGAAGATGGAGGCCAAGAAGAAGGAGGAGAAAGGCAGGACATGCCCAGATTCCTCCATCTTTGCCCCCTGAAGCCCCATTCTAAAAAACCTCAAAAATCTATTTTTCACCCTGGGACAAACTAACTATTATTCTACTTAAACTCTCTTTGTAGGAAAGACATTCTGTGCTGTTCTTGTGAGCCAGCAAAGGCTTCCTGATGATAAGGAAAGCCCCATACCTCTCCTGAGGAAGACACCAAGGCTGTCACCATGGAGATGTGATGAAGGAGAGAAAGTTAAGAGATATGGACTCCACTGAGAACTTTGTTTCTTTCCTATAACCAATGGGCAGTGAATGTGTATGTTAAGTGAATGTAAATATCTTGAAAGAGTATAAAAGCAATATGTTGCTGTAATAAACCTCTCTTGCACCCTTCTGATGGAGTCGTGGTACTTTGTGCTGTGTCATGCTCTATAATGCCATCTCTTGACTTGTAATTTTTCATATAAAGGTTGGTAATTGTTTTTTCATGGGTCAAGATCAAAGACACAGGGGTCTTGGGCTCTGGGCCAAGGTCTCTGAGCCCCCTGACAGGGTCTCGAGTCCTCCAGGGCAGCCAGAGGAATTTCCTGGGCTCCCACACCATGCTGCCAGCTCCTGCAAATCCCAACAGCCCTGGAATCCCACAGAGCCTTCTGCAGAGCTAAAACCTGCTGAGTGTGGAAGCTCTTTGACAATCTCAGGTGGCTCAGTGTGTAAAAGAAAAGAGCAGCGAGGGTGACGCACCACACGTCTCAGAGGGGGTGACATTGCTGCTTGTGGTATAAGCAGAATTGCCAAAGCTGCAATTTGAGCAGCTCAGGAAGCTCATTGAAGATGGACCTCATAAAAAAAGGACCTCACTGAAGATGGTAAATATTCATATATTAAACATTCTCAGTCCCCTATCTGTTCATTGCTCAGAGAATCACAGAATGATTTGGGTTAGAAGGGCTTTAAAGACTGTCCAGTTCCAACCCCTTGCCATGGACAGCTCAGTGCACTCCAGAGCCATCACTCCTCAAAAAACTCCAGTCTAACACCTGACGGCCACATGCAGCTGTGGGTTTAAACCTTTTTTACAGAACTTGTCTGATGTAAAGGCCACAGCACCTCTGCTATCAAGACCCAGAGCCAGAATACATATTTCTGAAGAGAAAAGTCAAACCCATCCTTTCATTGCACCTGTGCAGCCCTCCTGATATTGACCCAGGGGAGAGGGGATGATACAACCTGCTCCTTCTGTCTGCTGGGAAACCAAACCCAGCCCAAAATGCCAGCTGGACTGTGCACTGGCACATTAAAGAGGTACAGACCATGCCCTGAGGGCACTGACTGGGACAGGGTGCCCTGCAGGACACTTACATTTGTATATAAACTCTCCTACAGCCACTCTAAAACTCTGTGCAACCACATCAGCTCAATCAATAACAAGGGTGGATGGGGCTCTGAGCAACCTGCTCTGCTGGGAGGTGTCCCTGCCCATGAGAGAAAACTGGAACTGGATGATCTTTAAGGATCCCACCCAACCCAAACCAGTCTATGATTCCAAGAAGTGCTGGACAGCTCAGTTCAGCATCTCAGATTAATCACTTTCCAATTTTAAACAACCCATCCAGAGAAGGGGTGCACAAACCTCTTTTTTCCAGAATACCACTCAATAAAGAACCAGTGTAGAACCAGGGGCAGCATGGCCATGAAGCCGAGGTACAGCCAGTCATAGCGGTCTGGAGATCCCAAACACTCCCGGCAGATTTTGTTGTCATCAGTTCTTTGGCCTCTAGGACACACCTGCAGAAGGCAGAGCTTGGACTCAGAATCCCACCACCAACAGCAAACCTCTGCAGTTAATGGAAATACAGCTTGGGGCAAGACATAGGGCAGATTTTTAAAGAGCTGAAAAAATAACCCCAGTAATTTCTCAGCTTACACTTGCTCTCTCCAGCTCTTCTTTTTTAATATAAACAAGGGTGAAGCATGATTAAAAGCCTTCATGCAACCCTCCATTTTACTCTCTTGCTGTCACACCAGTCCCTTTCATCTCAGATGCTCACAACCACGGTTCTCCAGTTTCCTCCCGCCCTCCCCGGCTCTGGCTCTCCTTCAGCACTCCGGTAAAACCGGCGCGCACAGGGACTCATTCCAGCACAGCTCCCCGCACCACCCCGTTCTGT